TAAATTTTTTTTCCCCTGTAATCTACTTTGCTTAAGCTGGTATATTGTAGTGATAAGGAACTCAGATACTGGATTTGAACACCTAGGTGTGAGACTCAGATCCTCCTCCTGGCAATTATATTATCTTGAAAAAGCCTGTAACTTTCTGTTTTTCATTTTCCCTATTTATAAAATGATGATTATATCTACTTCACAAGGTTTTTGTGAAACTTTAAAAAAGTTAATACATGTGAAAATATTTGAAGCTTGATCTTATTAAACACTTTGATTGCCAAAGTCAAAACCAAGTCTAGGTCTGATCACCTTAAAACACTTTTGGTATAAGGCCGGATTTTAATTATCAAACGAGACTGTTTCTCCAAACTATTGCCAGTCTCTTTCTCCCTACTTCTCTTCTTTTTCTCCTATCCCATTCAAATGAAAACATATATGACGTAGAACTAGTATTTGTGAGAGAAGAAAAATACCATCATTTTTATTCTTTTCCATTTCTATTTGTTTCTATGCTGATCTCTCAACTTTGAACTCATTTAATATTCAAGATCATTTCTGCTTATACACAGACCTTTCTTACCTACTTGACCCCTTTCTAGAGATGGTGGGCCAGAGAGCTTTTGAATACAAATTCCAGTTTCTGATAGCAGTTGACAGAACTTCTCTCTGAAGTGGCCTGCTTTCTTCTTTTTTCCTTCTTAGTTCACCTAAAATAATATATATATTTCATAAATTAAACTCATTGATTATGTTAATCGATATATTAAGTATATCTATACCCGCCACATCATATCATTCTTATTAAATATTAAAAATGGACTTTAACCGAGCTTACAATTATCATAATTAAAAATATCTAATATATCACCCATATTCCCATTCCCAATGATTAAAATATATTTATTATGTTTCATATCGCAAATATTCATATATAATGCTACCTGTAGATATATTAAATATCATACTAAAGCCTGGATGAATCATTCATGTTCCCCCTGATTGTTAAACAAAGCCCAAGTTCGAGCTCACGTCAAAAACTTTTTACTCTGGACACAAAATGGAAATGAATTTTATACAATTTTTTTCCCTGTAAACCTAACTTTGGCTTAATCGCTCGGTAAATATTGGTAAGTGATAAGAACCTCAGAAATACTGGTTCGAACCTGGTGTGAGACTCAGAATCTCCGCCCCCTGCCCCGTGCAAATTTCAAATACTTATCTTCCGAACAAAGCCTGTAAACTTTCTGTTTTTTTCAATTTTCCTATTCATATAAAAAATGATGAATTATATCTACTCTCACAAGGTTTTTTTTGCTGGACTTAAACAGTTAATACATGATGGGATACAATTTAGAAACAGTGGCAAGGCGCCCTACATACTTTTTGCTTTATTCATGCTTTTTTATTTACTTATGTATCCTAACTAATTTTTTTTTGAAGACACCGAAGTTCCCACCACTGTTGCCACTGGGCTGGAGTGGCAAGTGGGCACCACTTTTGCTCCAACTGCAGCAAACTCTGCTCCCCAGGGTTCAAGTGATTTCTTCCTCCCGAGTAACCTTGGGATTTATGGCCCTGCCATCACACTGGCTAATTTTTTTTTTTTTTTTTTGGTTATTCCTCCTCTTCTATAAGCGGGGTTTCATCAATTGCTTGGCCAGCGCTTTGGTCTCACTTCCTGACGTCATCGATCCACCCCAACCCCACTACCTCACCAAAGTGGCTCAGGATTTACAGGCCAATGAGCCACTGCACGAGCCCATGTTTATTTATATAATAATAGTTTGTAAAACTTAATTCTGGGATCCATTAATCTCAGTTCATTTTGTTTGGTCGTTTTAAGCCCTTTTATCCTAAAAACCTTCATAGAGATCACTTATCCCTTTTTAAAATACTTTTTTCATTTAAAATAGTTTTTCCTTTATTCATCAAGAAGTTGCAAAAAATAGTGCGGGGTTTCTTTCAGTACCCATCACCCCAACTTTCTTAATCTTCTCCTTATTTTTCTATTCTCCATCTGTGATCAAGTATATACCGCGTTTATTATTTTTAGGCCGCAACTATTCCAACAGACATACTTCATCTGTTGGAGAACTCTCTTTCCTTGCCAGGCTTTCCCCGATTAATTATTTTTTTTTTTTTTTTTTCTGGTTGTATCTAGTTGACCAAATCAATTGTTTTATTCTTCCAAGGGCCAACTTTCAAAAATAAATTATTCCTGCTGTCCTAACATTGTAATTCAGTCCCTACACTTTTACCGAAAGGTGTCCTTGTTTTTTTAATGGCTCTCGGAATGTTTTTCGTTGTTCAGCTGCAGCTTGATAAAGGGACTGCACAAGAGCTTTTGAAAAGTCACTGTTTATTGTAGAACAATATTAGCTGTTAAATGGATTGGGACTTTTATACAGGAACTTAGCTAATAGCCTGCAAGCTCTTTAGTCACTTGCTCTCATTATTTTGACTTAATGTTCCCAGATGACAAGTACAAAGATCCCTTGAAACCATCTTTGTATTCCTGAATGTGACTTTTTTTGGAATCTTCTGGAAAGCTTGATGATACAGTAATAACATAGAACTTTTACATTTTGAAAAATCATTCCTTTCAGAGTAAACATTTCTGGGAATGGGGCCTAGGAATTTATTTTTAACCAACTTGCCAGGTAGTTTTCAGGCCGCCTTCAGTATAGTAATCTCTCATACCACTATTTTAAAACTCTGGGAATGTTACTTCTTAATATCATTAAAAATGGAAAAGCTGGGATATCCCCAAATTATTTCATTAGGATGAATGGGGGAAAGTTTGCATATATTTAAGAAAGTACAAATGTCTCAAGTTTATTAAGAATGGTAAATTGGCTCGGTGTGGTGGCTCACGGCTGTAATCCCACCACTTTAGGAGGCCAAAGTGGGTGAATCACCTGAGGTTCAGGAATTCAAGACCAGCCTGGCCAACATGGCAAAACTGCATCTCTTCTAAAAATACAAACATTAGCCAGGCATGGTGGCACGTGCCTGTAATCCCAGCTACTCAGTAGGGATAATCGCTTGAACCTGGGAGGTGGAGGTTGCGGTGCAGGGGTTGTGCCAGTGCACTCCAGCCTGGGAGACAGAGCTTGACTCCATTTCCAAAAAAAAAAAGTAAATTACAGAAAAGATATGACATTATAAATAGAACAGTCTAGTGGTCTATGGACCTTATGTGAGAACCACTTGATTACTTAATAGTTTAGATATTCCTGAAATCATTTTTGGTCAAACTGAAATTTATGAAATTCTTATTTTTTTTTTTTGGCTTGTTTTCCCTAGTATAATGCTTGGCAAATAGTAGGTTCTCAATTTCATGTAAGAACATTTAATATTTAGATACATGAGATGATTTGCATAGGGAATTGACTCTGAATAATGTCTTTATATATCTGTTAAGATTATTTGAAGGAATATGTTTATATTTTAACTTATGAAAATATTTTGTTTTCTAACTAATTTATCTTGTGACAGTGCTATTCTTTATATATTGCATCATTTAAGTTAATTAAATGCTATTTACATGTTAAACTTTTATTCAAGAGTCTAGTAATGACTGTGAAGATAATCCAACACGGAACAGAGGCTTTTCCAAGAGAGGCGGTAAGGACCACATTTTGGAACAATTTGTGCTTAACACAGAGACACTAAACTGGTAAAACTGATTTTGAAGGAGCTGGATGAAAAATACTGATGGTGAAAACCTTTGAAGGAAAATACTTTGGTATATGTTTTCTGCTTTTAATATTTGAGTGAGTATTCAGTAGGTGCCCCTCCTTTCACTCTTTTTTTTTTTAACTTTTAGGTTCAGGGGTACATGTGTAGGTTTTGGTTATCTAGGTAAATTGCAGGTCATGGGGTTTTGGTGTACAGATTATTTCATCACCCAGATAATAAGCATAGTACCTGATAGGTAGTTTTTTGATCCTGTACCTCCTCCTACCTTCTACTCTAAAGTAGGCCCTAGTGTCTGTTGTCCCCTTCTTTGTGTCCATGTGTTCACAGCGTTTAGCTCCCACTTTATAAGTAAGAACATTCAGGATTTGACTTTCTGTTCCTGCATTAGTTTGCTTAGAATAATGGAGCTCCATTCATGTTCCTGCAAAGGACATTATGTCATTCTTTTTTATGGCTGCATAGTAGTTAGTCCATGGTGCGTATGTACCACATTACCTTTGTCCAGTCTACTGTTGGTGGGCATTCAGGTTGATTCTGTGTCTTTGTTATTTTGAATAGTGCTGTGATGAACGTATGTGTACATGTGACTTTATGGTAGAATTATTTATATTCCTTTGGGTATATACCTAATAATGGGATTGCTGGATCGAATGGTAGTTCTGTTTTATGTTCTTTGAGAAATTGCCACACTGCTTTCCACAATGGCTCAAGTAATTTACACTCCCACCAGCAGTGTATAGGCATTCCCTTTTCTCTGCAACCTTGCCAGCATCTGTTATTTTTTGATTTTTTAATAATAACCATTCTGATTGGTATGAGACGGTATCTCATTGTGGTTTTGATTTGCATTTCCCTATTAATTAGTGATGTTGAGCATTTTTTCATCTGCCTGTTGGCTGTATGTTGTCTTTTGAAACATGTCCATGTCCACTGCCCACTTTTTAACAGAGTTGTTTGTTTTTCTGCTGGTACATTTAATTTCCTTATAGATTCTGGATATTAGGCCTTCATTGGATGCGTAGTTTGCAAATATTTTCTCCCATTCTGTAGGTTGTCTCTTTACTCTGCTGATAATTTCTTTTGTTGTGCAGAAGCTTGTTCATTTAATTAGGTCCCATTTGTCAATTTTTGCTTCTGTCAAGGTGACTTTTGGCATCTTCATCACAGAATCTTCCAGGGCCTGTGTTTAGAATGGTATTTTGTAGGTTATCTCCAGGGTTTTTATAGTTTTAGGTTTTACATGTTATTCTTTAATCCATCTGGAGTTGATTTTTGTATGCAGTCTAGGGAAGGGGTCCAGTTTCAATCTTCAGCATATGGCTAGCCAGTTATCCTAGCACCATTTATTGAATAAGGAATCCTTTCCTTATTGCTTGTTGTTGTCAACCCTGGCAAAAATCAGATGGCTGTAGGTGTGTGGAATTCCCTTTTGCAGATGGTATGATTTTATACCTAGAAAACCCTATAGTTTCTGCCCCAAAGTTCCTTGATCTGATAAATTCCTTCAGCAGAATTTCAGGATACAAAATCAATGTACAAAAATCAGTAGCATTGCTATCCACCATATTGTTAAAATGGCCATACTGCCCAAAACAATTTACAGATTCAATCTACCAATGACATTCTTCACAGAATTAGAAAAAGAAAACAATTTTAAAATTCATATGGAACCAAAAAAGAGCATGAATAGGCAAGGCAATCCCAAGCACAAATAACAAAGCTGGAAAGCATCGCATTACCTGAGTTCAAAGTTTACTACAAGGCTACAGTAACCAAAATAGCACGGTACTGGTCCAAAACCAGATGCCTAGACCAATGGAACAGAATAGAGAGCACAATTTTAATTTAATTTAATTTTTTTTTGAGATGGAGTCTCACTCCATCACCCAGGCTGGAGTGCGGTGGTGTGATCTTAGCTCACTGCAACCTCCACCTACTGGGTTCAAGTGATTCTTGTGGCTTTACCCTCCCTCATAGCTGGGACTGCAGGCATGTACCAGTACACCTGGCTAAGTTTTGTATTTTTAGTAGAGACGGGGTTTCACTATGTTGGCCAGGCTGGTCTTGAACTCCTGACCTCAGGTGAGCTGCCGCCTCAGCCTTCCAAAGTGCTGGGATTACTGGCATGAGCCACCGTGCCTGTCCTTGTTTTACTTGCTAATATCACTGATCTGTTGTTTCCCCCCACCATGATCGTGCTATAAATTGCAGAAGGAACGTGCTATAAATTACAGAAGAGGGACAATGTGAATCTTGGTCAGTCGCGGTTTAGATGAACTGGGGTTGTCTTTGTCTCTGAATAGAGTCATTGGAAATTTGAGGATGGAAGAAATTGTAGATTATTTTTTGTTCAAGTCTAGCAGTATTTCACCATACTCTGGTAATTCAGCTTCTATTGAATTCGAGATGAGATAGTATCAAAAATTACCATGCTTAATTCTTGATTACGTATGGGCAGTCATGTTAAAATAGCAATGACAACAAAACATATGAAAAATATAGTGAACTTATTATAAAATTGCTACGGATGTGCAAATCTATGTTAAGAGGTTTTATAGTAATCACATACATGAATTTTTGCTGCACCTTGGTGACATTCTTTTCCTTTGCCCATTAGGTAGGTAGTTGGCTGAATTAGGCCCTCCCTAGTGAAGGTAGGACTTGTGGATTTCAGAATGAGGGAAGACTGTCTCCTTAATTACTTCTTACGGTAATTATGGACAGGGGTGGTGGTGGGGAGAAAGTTAAGCTAAGAAAAAATAAGACTCATCTTTTACCATATTTTTTTTAACAAGCAATTTTTGGCACTTAATGTTCCTAAAACATAGCTCATATTTGAAATTTTTTTCTTCAGAGCAGTGAATATCTTTTGTACTATTAACATTAACATTTACTTTAAATGAATTTAATTCATATTTAAATGAGGCAGTCGAAACCATTTGCAGCTCTATGTGCTTGGTCCTGTAGCAAGTGTAGGATAATTAGATTATAGATTAGTGTAGGATAATTAGCAAGGACACAGCTATTTTTCAGGGTATCTCTGATTCCCATTCTCTGTAGATGTATACATTTGAGGATAGGAAGACTGTGTATAGTGGTCGCTCAGAAAATACATGTGTGTATATATGTTTGTATTAAAATATGTAGACAGGTACATATACCGTAAATGTGTAGCTCAATTATATTTCACAAACTGAACTCACTTGAGTTCAGTGTGTTCACCAGCATTCAGGTCATGAAATACAAATTACTAGCACTTCAAAAGCCCCTTTTCATGTTCATTTTTTACTCACTAATTACTCATTACCCCTAAAACCTCTATTAAGCCTTCTAACAGCAAACAATAATTTTGTCTATTTTTATACTTGATATAAATGGAATCATATCATATGTAGTGTTTTATGTTTACCTTCTTAGTGTGTTTGTTGCAGTTGTAGATCATTATTACTGTTTAGTATTCTTTTGTTTTACTGTTGTTCTATTAATGATAGGTATTTGGATTACCTCCAGTTTGGGGCCATTATGAAAGTGCTTCTGTAAACATTCTAGTATTCTTTTGGGTGTCATTAGTACATACTCAGAAGAAGAATTGCTAGGTCATAGGCTATATATATTTTTGGCTTTAATAGTATTGTCAGATGTTTCAGTGTTTAAGATACACTTTCACATTCTAACCAATGCCTGGTATTTTATTTTTCTCTCATTTTAACCTTTCTCCTGGTTGTGTGGTGGTGTACTCATTATGTATTACATTTCTATGTTTTTGGACTAATGGAATGTGGAGCACTTCTTATGTCTATTGGCCATTTTGACATCTGGACATCGTTTGTCATTTGCCTGTTTTTCTATTGAGTATCTTTACTTTTACCTTTTTATTTGTAAATGATTTAAAACTTAAAAGTTGCAAGAATAGTTCATACAGATAGGCCAGGCGTGTTGGCTCATGCCTGTAATGCCAGTACTTTGGAAAGCTGAGGCGGGCAGTTCACTTGAGATCAGGAGTTTGAGACCAGCCTGGCTAATATGGTGAAACCCCGTCTCTACTAAAAATACAAAAATTAGCCGGGCGTACTCCTGTAGTCCCAGCTACTCGGGAGGCTGAGGCAGAAGAATCGCTTGAACCCGGGAGGCAGAGGTTGCAGTGAGCTGAGATTGCGCCACTGCACTCCAGCCTGGGTGACAGAGAGAGACTCCGTCTAAAAAAGATAAGTAATTGGCATTAATCTGGAGTTTATTTTTGTATGTAATGTAGGAATCAATATACATTTTTTTCCATATAGATGTTCAGTTGACCTAGTATCACTTATTGAAAAGACTGTCCCTTCCACTCTGCACTACAGGGCTGTCTTTGTCCTAAATTAGGTGGCTTATGTATGTGTATCTGTTTCTCTAGGTTTTATTCCGTTGGTCGGTTTTTCTATTTTTGTACCATTGCCCCATAATCTAATTACTGTGATTTCATAATAGGTCCTGATATCTGGCATTGTAAGTCTTTCAAGTGCTTGTTTTTCAAGGGCTGTGGTTTGGATGTTTGTCCTTCTCATGTTGAAATTTGATTCCCAGAGCGGGAGGTAGGGTCTAATGGGAGGCGTTTGGGTCATGGGGGCGCAGATCCCTCATGAATAGACCTGTTCTCCTTGTGGGGGTGTTGAATGTGTTCCCTATTAGTTCCCTTGAGAGCATGTTGTTAAAAAGGGCCTGGTACCCTCTACTTCCTCTGCATCATATGATCTCTGAACACACCAGCTCCCTTTCACCTTCAGCCATGGGTGGAAGCAGCCTGGGGCTCTTACCAGATGCCCAATCTTGAACATTTTCAGGTATCAAATTGTGAGCCAAATAAACTTTTTTTTTTCCAATTAATTATCCGCTCTCAGGTATCCCTTTAGAGCAACACAAAACAAATGAAAACCTCAAGATTACCT